CATTTTCAAGTCTTTGGGGTAAATACCCAGTAGAGGGATTGCTGGATCATATGGTAGATCAATTCTTAGTGTTTTGAGGAAACTCCATACTGTTTTCCATAGTGGCTGTACCAATTTGCAGTTGTGTATGAGGGTTCCTTTTATTCCACTTCCTTTCCAACATTTGTTATTACTTGTCCTTTTGAAAACAGCTATTCTAACAGGTGTGGGTTGGTATCTCATTGTGGTTTTGATTTGCATTTCCCTAATAGCTAGCGATGTTGAGCATCTTTTCATATATTTGTTGGCCATTTGTATGTCCTCTAGGGAGAAGTGTCTCTTCAGGTTCTCTGCCCATTTTTTGATTGGATCATTTGTTGCTGAGTCGGATGAGTTCTTTGTATATTTTGGATATTAGGTCCTTATTGGAGGCATTGCTTGCAAATATATTTTCCCATTCAGATGGTTGTCTCTTTACCTTATTGATGGTTTCTTTTGCTGAGCAGATATTTTTTAGTTTTATGTGGAATTCATTTATTTTTGCTTTTACTTCCCTTGACTTTGAGCTCAAATTCATAAAATCCTCTTTAAGTCCAAAATCAATGTTCAAAAATCCATAGCATTCCTATACTCTAACAATGAAATGTCAGAAAAAGAAGTTGAAAAAATAATTCCTTTTACAATTGCAACAAAAAGAATAAAACACCTAGGAATAAATTTAATGAAACATGTAAAGGACCTATATAATGAAAACTAAAAGATCCTAATAAAAGAAATCAAAGAAGAGACAAAGAAATGGAAAGATATTCCATGTTCTTGGATTGGAAGAATCAACATAGTTAAAATGACCGTATTACCTAAAGCATTATACAGATTTAATGTAATTCCCATCAAAATCCCATCAGCATTTTTTAAAGAAATAGAACAAAAAATCATCAGATTTATATGGAAGCACAAAAGACCCTGAATTGCCAAACCCATCCTGAGAAAAAAGAATGAGGCTGGAGGCATCACTCTGCCTGACTTCAAATTATACTACAAAGCAACAGTAATCAAAACAGCATGGTATTGGCAGCAAAACAGACACACAGACCAGTGGGACAGAATTGAGAATCCAGAAGTAAACCCATATTGACATGGGCAAATAATTTTTGAGAAAAAAGCCAAAAACATACAGTGGAGAAAGGAAAGCGTCTTCAATAAATGATGCTGGGAAAACTAGAAAGCCAACTGCAAAAGAATGAAACTAGACTGATGTCTATCATCACACACCAAAATTAACTCAAAATGGATTAAGGACCTGAATATAAGACCTGAAACAATATAATGCCTAGAAGAAAACATAAGAACTAAAATCTTTTGGGTTTCTGATGAGTCATGGCTGTTTTTGCTTTAGGACTAGATATTCTTGATTCATCATCTCCACTTATAACCTGGCCCTCTTCCTCCTTTTTAAAGAAAAAATCATATTATATTATTTGCCTTATAAATCAACGTTGCCATATTGTAGGGTAATTAAATCCACGGGCTCTGGGGTAGGATGCTGGGTTCAGACCCTGACTGCCATATACTAGCTATATGATTTTGGCAAGTTACTGAATTTCTGTGTGACTCAGTTCTCAATTATTCACTCTGCTTTAATAGAAACCATCACACTACAAGACTTTAAAAAAAAAATTACAGTTGAGAAACATACAATTTCCCAAGACTAAGTCAAGAAGAAACAGAAAATCTGAACTGACCCATTACCACCAATGAAATAGAGTCAGTAATCATAAACCTCCCAAAAAACAAAAGCCTTGGACCAGATGGATTTATAGGTGAATTTTACCAAACATTCAAAGAAGAATTATCACCTA